TTTGCCACCTCAAAAAGAGCTATATTTTTATACATCTTTAGAATTTTTTGCTTAAGACTAATTCGTCCCTTAAACTACTACTACTAATTCCCTCTTATTCTTTCTCACATTTTCCTGTCAAACAAAATGTATTTTTATACTTAGTTGTGTTTGTGAATGTATATGTGTATTCTTCCCTCCTTTGACCAGTTCAGATGAGAGTAAGGTTCAAGAATCAGCCACTACTACCATTACCTCCTTCTCCTTGTTTGTATAGATGTCTACTTGCACAGTCTGATTATGTGGGATAATTTTCCCTAATTTTACTTTCCCTTCTCTCTCCCACCACCCTGTGTATTCCTTTTCTCCACTCAATTCTTCTCTTAAGATCATCAAGACATACATAACAGAACCATAACCATGCCTTCTCTTTTTATGACCCTTGATAATAATAGGGTTCAAAGGGAGCACATACATCATCTCCTCATATTAGAACATAAGCAGTTTATCCTTATTTAGTCCTTTATCATCATTCATTCAAGTTTACCTTTCAATGTTTCTCTTTACTCCTGCATTTGAACTTCAAAGTTTCACTGCAGCTCTGGTCTTTTTGCCAGAAAACTTTGCAAGTCCTCTTTAAGGATCATTAAGGATCCATTCTATCTCTCTTTCTCTCTCTGTCACACACACACATACACACACACACACACACACACACACACACACACACACACATTAGGATTATATTTGGTTTTGGAGGGTATGTTATGCTGTGTATTCTAAGCTCTCCGGTCCTTGATAGTGGTGGTTACTAAATCATATGTTATCTCAACTGTAGCTCATTGGTACTTGAATTGTTGTTTTCTGGTTACTTGCAGTATTATTTTTCTTTTACCTCAACACTCTGGGTTTTGACTATAATTTTCCTGGAAGTTTTCATTTAGTGATTTCTTCCAAAAGGAAGATTCTTTCAATTTCTGCTTTGCTCTCTGGTCCTAAGGGCTCTGGAAAGTTTTCTTTAAAGATTTTTTTTAAATGTGTTATCTTGGCTCTTCTTATGGCCATGACATTCTGATAGTCTAATGATTCTTGAATTTTTTCTCCTTGATCTGTTCTCCAGGTCAGTTGTCTTTACTATGCAATACCTTACATTTTCTCCTATTATTTCAGACTTTTGACTTTGTTTAGTATTTCTTGTTGCCTCATGGAATCATTGGCTTCCATTTGGTCTATTTTAATTTTCAGGGAGTCTGTTTTATACCCTCTCATGTGGCAATCTGTTAATTCCCTTTCCAAGTTTTTCTTCCCTATCTCTCATTTCTTTTATAATTTTTCCCTCTAGAACTCTCATTTCATTTATGAAAAGCTTCTTAAATTCCTTTTTTTTCTTCCAAGGATTCTCACTGAATTTTTGCCCATTTTTTAAGGCTTTGCTTGTAGGTGTTTTGGAGTTATTCTTTTCTTCTGGGTTCATATCTTGAGTGTCCTTGTCAATATAATATTTTATCACCCGATTCTTTTTTTGTTTGCTCATTCTTCCAAACTAATTTCTGATGTCTGACAAGGCCAGGCTCTGGGAAATTCTGAAGCAAAGGTCTGGTTTGTCTTATTTCTGCTTTCTTAGGGTATTGAGTATTGTCTTATTCCAGGATCTTATTCCAGTTCAGGCTTGTCCCTGCAAGTTTTCAGAAGTGGTCTGATCCAGGGTGAAGTCTGATTGTTGTCCCCTGGTCTGAGCTCTAAAACTTCCTGATCTTGATTTGTGTCTATGCAATAGTAGATTGCTGCTTGGTTCAGCCGCTAGCAGCCAGCTGAGAAACCCTGTTGGTTCAGAATGATAGAAATGCAAGCTCCCTTTGGTCTAGAATTCTTGCCTGGGTTATTTCTCTACAGACTTCAGAGCTGCACTGCTGCTGCTTGCTTCTGAACCTACTCCTTTCTTAGTACACTGTGCAGGTGCTTCTTACCTAGAAACACTACCACCATGCAAAGTTCACAAGAAGTGCCCTGTTTTCACCCCATCGACACCCCTTAACAGTCCTCATCTGTGACCTAGAATTGGGTAGTGGGCAATAAAGCTGTCAGCACCTATTATAGTTGAGGTGCCAAAGTGTGGGACTAAGGGTGCCCTGGTATGGATTAAGGACCGCCTCTTGCACTCAGTGTCAGACTCTCCCTGTATGCTAGAGTACTCCTCACAGGTGCTCCTGTCCAGACCTCATCCCCAGTGTCCACAGACCATTCTGTCTGCCTCCCTATGCCAACCTGAACTAGAAAAATGACTCACTATAGCTTTGTCTTGGATTTTCCCATCAAGATTAGGTCTAGTGCATTTTCTAGATCTATTTTGAGGAATTTGGTGAGGGGTAGGGGGGAGTCCACTGTACTGTATCATTCTACTCCTCCGTTTTGGTTCTGCTTCCTATTATAAATCTTTCCATTCTTCCTCGAACCTTCCATAGGTCCCAATCCCTCCACTCTTTTAACTAAGAAACTTGCCTTAAATTTCACTGGGAAAAAAATGAGGTTATTTGCCAAAAATGGCTTATCATCATCATCATCATCATCATCATCATCATCATCATCATCATCATCATCTCAGTTGCTCAAATTGAGCACTGGGCCCAGAGTCAGGAAGAGCTGAGTTCAAATCCAGCCTCAGACAAGTGTCTAACTATGTAACTCTGAGCAAGTCATTTAACCTCTATTTCCTCAATGGTAAAATAGAGATAATAGCAACCATCTCACAGGTTGTGAGATAATATTTGTAAGAAGTGCTTAGCATAGTGTCTAGCACATAATAGGTCTATATAAATGCTTATTCCTTTACTCTTTCCTGTCCCTTCCCCTTTCCTTTCCCTTAAGTGCCTTGCCTTTGAGTTTGCCTCAACTTTATGATAGATAAATGGATAGATAGATAGATAGATAGATAGAGAATATGTATGTATAATATTTATACTTGGTTTTTACATGTTGCCTGTTCTGTTAGTACATGAGCTTCTTGAGTGTAGGAACTGTTTCTGCCTTTTTTTTTTTTGATCATTAACACTTAGTGAAGCACCTGGCACACTGTAAACACTCAATAATGCTTGTTGACTGACTGCCACTCAGTTTTCTCACCTGTAAATTCAAAGGATTGTAACAAATTTTTTAAGATCTCTTCCATCTCTAATATGTTGTGATTCCTTAAATATCTATTGATACATGTATACATATCTTGTCTATATATATATATGTATATAGTTGCAGTGTGACCAGGGCAAAATTATTTAACCTCTTAGTGTTCTAGGTGAATATTCTAAAACTGTATATTGCAGAGAAGGTGTCCATCTGCATTAGTAGAGTTCATTCACCTGTAATTTTCCTATATCAGTGAAATCACAGGTACAGTCTCTATCCTAATATATTGTAAAGCCTGTTCTCCAGTAACATATAGAGGATTTTTTTTGAGGATTTCAGCTTGCTTTCCTCCTTGAAAATTACTGTAATTGGCTAATATGACAAATCAGGAAAATGATAAATGTTGGAGAATCTGTGAGAAAATTGGAGCACCAATGCATTGTTGGTGCAATTGTAAACTGATCCAACCATTCTGCAGAGCAATTTGGAACTATGCCCAAAGGGCTATAAAACTGTGCATACTCTTTGATCCAGCAATATCACTGCTAGGTCTGTATCCCAAAGAGATCATAAAAAAGAAAAGGAATCACATGTACAAAAATATTTATTAGCTCTTTTTGGGGTGGCAAAGAATTATAAATTGAGGGGATGCCCATCAATTGGGGAATGGCTGAACAAGTTGTGGTATATGAATGTAATAGAATACTACTGTGCTATAAGACGTGATGAGCAGGCAGATTTCAGAAAAACCTGGAAAGACTTGTGAGGTCTAATGCTGAGTGAAGTGAGCAGAAGAGGGGAACATTGTACACAATAACAGGAACATTGTGTGATGACCAACTTATATAGACTTAACTCTTCTCAGCAATGCAATGATCTAAGACAATTCCAAAAGACTCATGATGGAAAATACTATCCATATACAGAAAAAGAATTATAGTGTCTAAATGCAGATTGAAGCATACTATTTTCTCTTTCTTTCTTTTTGGTTTTTCTTTCTCTTGGTTTTTCCTTTTGTTCTGATTCTTCTTTCACAACATGCCTAATGTGAAATTATGTTTAGTATGATTGTACAAGTATATCCTATATCAGATTGCATGCCATCTTGGGGAGGGGGCAGTGGAGGAGGGGGAAATTTAGAACTCAAAATCTTATAAAAATGAATGTTGAATACTAAAAATTAATTAATTTAGCAAAAAAAAGAAAATTACTGTATCCAAGTAGTATGTGAGATTACCAGCCTGTAAGTGGTTATAGTCACTCATATTAACATAATGGAAAATACAGATGATATGGGGAGCATTGAATCTTAGTATTTTCAGTTCTTTATGATATACTGATCTCTCTCATGGTGGATAGATTTGACACTTAAAATTTCATTTGTCCTTTTTATTTTCTTAATTTCATTTGCTATATTAACGAGTATTAGGCTTTTTTGAAATTATTTTGACATACAAGGATTTTTATAGAATAAATGAGTTCAATCATGTTAGTTGTATTTCATTGTGGTAATATTTACACAATGTAATCATTTCTATAAGAAAAAGATAATAATTAATGTGTTTTACTTTAAAACTTTCGTATGCATCCACAACCCAAGGGCAACTAGGTGGTGCAGTAGAAAGAGCCCCAGGTCTGGAGTCAGGAAGACCTGAGTTCAAATATGACCTCAGCCACTAATTGTGTGACCCTGGGCAAGTCACTTAACCCTGTTTGTCTCAGTTTCCTCTTCTATAAAATGAGCTGGAGAAGGAAATAGCAAACCACTCCAGTATCTTTGCCAAGAAAACTCCAAATGGGATCACAAAGAGTTGGACACAACTGAAAGGACTGAACATTCACTTCATACATCTATACTATGTTCAAGTTTTTGAAACATAATAATTATTTTTCTGTTACAGTGAAAAATGTTCTAATGATTCACTGATTCATTTATCCTGCAATCATAAACGTAAGTATTTTTTCAAATTTTCTCAAAGCTTAATTCAGTTTATACTACCTAAAAGAATATTTTAGGGACAGCTAGATGGCGCAGTGGATAGGGCACTGGCCCTGGAGTCAGGAGGACCTGAGTTCAAATCCAGCCTCAGACATTTGACACTTACTAGCTGTGTGACTCTGGGCAAGTCACTTAACCCCATTGCCTAGCAAAAAAATAAAAATAATTAATAATAATATTTTAATAATTAAATATTTATTAAAGGAAACCCCAGGAATTGAATTATATCGCCTATTTCCTTCATCCCATTTTATTTTTAACAGCTTGTGGGAAACAACTAGTAACTCAAGAAACTAACCCTAGAATTGTTGGTGGAAATAATGCCAAGGAAGGGGCATGGCCCTGGATGGTTTCTCTGTTTTTCAATGGACGCCCTATATGTGGTGCTTCTCTTATTAGCAATGAGTGGCTGGTCACAGCAGCACATTGTGTGTATGGGTAAGTTTGAGGATCCTATTTCTGTGTAAGTGTGTTAGTGTCAATTGAATCCTAACTATCAACCAGTGTGTCAATCAGTATATTCCTTCTAGCTTTGTGTCATCTGCAGATTTCACAAGTATACCATGTACACCCTCATCTAAGTCACAGATAAAACTATTAAACAGCACAGGGCCAAGTACAAATTCCTGAAGTACTCCACTAAAGAACTCTTACACGTTGACACAAAACTATTAACGACTACTCTTTGAATCCAACCATTTCTGAATCCATTGGCTTATATTATCATTTACTTTGTAGCTCTTCATCTTCTGCATGAGAATAGCATGAGATACTTTATCAAAACTTCTTTAAAATATAGGTAAACTATATCTACAACATTTCCATCATGTACCTGTTTTGTAATTCTAACAAAAAAAGGAAATTAGTTTAATATGGCATGATGTGTTCTTGATGAAGCCATGACGGTTCTTTCTAATATCTGCTTCCTTTTCTAGATATTTGCCACCCATCTCTTTAACGATCCTTTCCAGAGTTTTATCAGGAGTCTATACTGGTCTATACTTTTTTTTCTTCTAAATCAGGGCAACATTTGCCTTTCACTAATCTTTTGGTATTTCTCCTGTTTTCTATAATCTTTCAAAGACCACTGACCATGGTTCCACAGTCATATCTGGCAGTTCTTTCAGGACTTGAGCATATATCTTCCAGGTGACTTGAATTCATCAAAGGCACTGTTAGCTCCTTACTTATCTTGGGTATCAAGTCCCCCTTAACCATGTTTAGTTTGTTATTTACAATGTAAAAGTCATACTCTTTTGCACAGAAAACAAAATAGGAATTGAGCAGTTGTGCTTTCTGTTGTCAGTTATCATCATCTTATCCATTCCTAGCAAGTCCTTGTGTTGTGTTTGTTTGTTGTAAATAACGCTAAGTTTGCTTAGTTCCAAAAGCCCACTGATGATTCTTTGGCGTGAAGCTATTCATTAACAATACCATTAGGAATTCCTGTGCATATTCAAGGTGTAATATGCTAGTGTATTTAATCTGCATTGTTAGAAAGTTAAGGATGAAAAAAAAAACAAAAAAAAAGTTAAGGATGTATTTAAGTGGTATGTAACAAATTATTTATGTCATGCAATTATAAATGCAAAAACTCCCCAATTAACATATTGAAGCCTTATAATTCAGATATTCACTATGTGCCCAAATATGCCATCATGGATTCACAAAATTTTCCTTGTGGTCCTCCACCTGGTTCTTTTCAACTAATTGCTGCTGCTGCCTTCTCTAGATGCTTTAAATCTGGGGCCAACACTCCTTAGCAGTATCTAATATTGAGAGCATTCGGAAGCTAAAAGGTATTTAAAAGAATCAAATGAGTTGAAAGCATATTGATAAATGGAGATCTTTGGAGAGCATCACAGAGAGATGCCTGAAGCAGGGTGGACTGTAATTGTATTTTTTTTTAATTTTACCTTTCTAGGAGGAATTTAATAACATCTCGGTGGAAAGCAGTCCTAGGCCTTCACACTACATTGAATCTGACAAATTCTCAAACAGTAATTCAACTGATTGATCAAATTATCATAAATCCACATTACAATAAGCAGACAAAGGACAGCGACATTGCCCTGATGCATCTTGAATCCAAAGTGAATTATACAGGTAAAAGAAAGTAAAATCATTATGAATGATTATGTAAGTCATTATGTAAATCTAGTCTGAGTTTATTCAAACTATTTATCAAAATTAATTAATTTCATATTCAAAAATATGGAAATTAATCATAGATATTATGGCAAATATAACTGGGTAAAGAAAAGAAAATAATTTGATTAGTTCAATGAAGGTGCCTGACAGTAATTTTCTAAAAAGTGATCAAGTAGAATTTAAGTATTGAGCTTTATTTGGCAGCGAAATTAAATGAACAATACACTAAAAAGAAAGGAACCAAGTACTTATACATGACTTACCTACTTCTATCTATGTTAGAGCCTTTTCAGAAGTTAACATATAGAAATCCTAGATCTATTAGCTAAGGAGCTTGGAATACCAAAGGCACAAACTGGGCATGTACTATGTAATTGATAAAACATCCTAGAAGATTTTTATATTGTGGTGACTTTTCAAAATATGTAGAATTATAGGTTTGATTAGAAGGAGGCTTACTTCATGTTGAATTGAGGGTTACAGTGTGGTATAATAGAAAGAGCACTGAACTTGGGGTCAGGAAACCTTGATTACTTGTTATCTCAGAGCCTCAGTTTTTTCATCTGCAAAATGGAAATAACACATTCACTATAATGCGCAGGAAGCATTTTAAATATACAATTTAAATATGAGCTATTGGTTTAAATTAAAAGATATTCTAAAAGTCCAAGATTCTTCACATGAGTACTAAAAAGAGCTTCATCTGAAAGAGTTATGAGGAGAGATGTTGAGATTTGTTAATATGAATTAATAATTTTAAAAGACCACATAAGAATCTCAGAATTACGATAGATTTTACATAATTTAGGTGGGCTCTAAACACCTGCTTATTACAGAAAGGCAAGTAGGCAGAAAAAAAGAAACAGAGACAAGAAGACAGAGAAGAGACAGATATACAGATGATACACATGTACACAGAGACAGTACAGAGAGAGACAGACACCCAAAAAGAGACATGCAGAAACAGACAGATATAAAAAAAATATAAACACACAAGCTGGGATAAAAATGGAGAGAGGCAGATAAACAGAGAGATAGAGACAGGAGAGAAACAAAAACCCAAGTCTCTGTCCTGGGCCCTTCAATTTCTCTCCTTTGGGAACCTCATTAGTTATCATGGGTTTCAGCCCTAATTACTCTCCTAAGTTCCAGTCTCACATCAACTTCCTGTTGGACATTTCAAACTGGGTGTTCCAAAGTCATCAGTCTATCAGTCAATAAGTATTTATTAAACACCTAAGGATGGAAGGAATTAAGTATTGAAAGAATTGCAAATCTTTATCCTAAAGAAAAGAAGACTGAAAATGAGAGTGGGAGAAGTGGTAACATGATAGCTATCTTCTAGTATAAGTCAATAAATAATAAGTCACATTTGTATAGCACTGACTATGTGCCAGGCACTATGCTAAGCACTTGGCAAACATCTCACTTGAGTTTCACAACAACCCTGCCAAGTTGTTGTTGTTCAGTTGTTTCAAATGTGTCCAACTCTTCATGACCCCATTTGGGGTTTTCTTGGCAAAGATACTGGAGTGGTTTGCCATTTCCTTTTCCAGCTCAAATTACAGATGGTGAACTGAGGCAAACAGGTTCAAGTTATTCTCATTTTACAGTAATGGAAACTGAGGCAAACAGAGGCTAAGTGATTTTCCCAAGCTAGTGTCAGGCCACATTGGAACTAGGGTCTTCCTGACTTTAGGCCCAGTGCTCTGTCCACTAGTCGGTCAAATCGAGTTACCAAGCATTTATTGTGTGAAAACACTGTGAATACAAAGAATCTCACATTCTAATGGAGGAATCAAATCTTAATTTAATTTAATCTTCCTAACCATTAGAGCTATCTAATAGTTAAATCTGTCACTTTGTGAGGTAGAGGGTTTTCCCTCTGAAATTCTTTAAGAAAAGGCTAAATGACCACTTCTCAGGTATGTTGCAGAGGGATTTCTTATTCAGGGATTAGATGGTAAATTGATCATTAATTTGTGAAATTATGAAAAGGGAATGGGCACACCCAGTTCTTGGGGTACTCTCCAGGATAGACCATGACTGGAAGCAAGAAACGGAAAAGCAATCAACACTGTATGCCTAATTAGGCATAGAAGGTGTAGGGGCAAAAGCACATGAAGGCAGAGACAATGGTACAGAGGAAGATGGGATGAAAATAGGGGATGGGATGGTGAAGGCAGACAGTGTGAGGAACAGGGTAGGGAGGGGATGAGTCACTTACAGTAATTGTGGATTGGCATTGGGAGCCCTCAAGCAGCAGGGACACTGAGGAGAAGGAAGAATGCCCAGGAAACAGGAGATTGAAGTCTCATTTTAATAGGATTTTGGGGGGGAAAAGATTAACTTTTATCTGCGCCACCTCATGGTTAGTTGATTGACATATGCAAATCATTTCATCAACACAGTTTGGTGTTCTGCTGGTCTCACTAAGGATGTCTGGAACTTGTCTGAGATTTACGTATCATAAGACCAAAAGACCCTGACAGCGGAGCCTAGATGGCTTCCACTGACTTAGCACATCACCAGAATATGAATCTTTGGTTAATATGTGATATGATTTGTGAATTATGCTCCTTTGATCTTTGTGATGGTCCAGGCATGACTTGGTTCTCCTTTGCAATCTCACTTCCTGCTCTTGCTCCATCATACTTACTGCTTATAAAGCGGCTATATTAACTAGAAGAGGGAGGGAGGATGGTGGTAAGGTGGACCAGAACAAGATCTTATGTTAACACAGATAGCTGCTAAGATTCTTTCCAAGTTTGAAATTCTGTGTAATTACTTTAAAATCCTTTTGTTTTAGTAGCATCATTTTAAAAAAATATGCTGGTTTAAAGGTATAAAATCAAAAGCTCTTTTCATTAAATTTAAAATAATTTACCTCTAAAAACTATGTACTTATCAGGACCATGAAAATGTGAACTGGATATATAAAGTACCTTTTCCAAAATTTACATATCTTTAATTATTTTGACAGATTACATACAGCCTATTTGCTTACCTGAAGCAAGTCAAGTCTTTCCTCAAGGAATGAACTGTTTTATTGCTGGCTGGGGTAGAATAAAATATCAAGGTAAATGATCAAATTCAGAGAAACATTCATTAACGCATAGTTATAATTAAACTATAAAAATATAATTATAAGAACATAATTATGCTAGATTATGTTAGTAATGTGCTCATGTGCAGTGATTTGTGACTTTTAAAAAACTGTAATATTGGGAGCTGCTAAGTGGCTCAGTAGATAGAGCTCCGGCCTTGGAGTCAAGAGGACCTGAGTTCAAATCCGGACTGAGACGCATGACACTTACTAGTTGTGTGACCAAGGGCAAATCACTTAACCTTGATTGCCTCACCAAAAAAGCAAAAAAATTAGTTAAAAAAATAAAAAATTGTCATATCACATTGTGTAATTTTTGTCAGACTTTACTCTCCCTAAACATTATGTAAGGATTTCATTAATTTTTAAATCAATATGTTATTTTAAGTATTATTTATTTAGTTATGTTAAATTTAGTGTTATTTTTAAGTGCTATTTTAAGAATATATTTAAAATTTCAAGACACATAAGGATGTGTCATGAAATCAGATTGGGGAATCAAAATCTAAATATTGCTAAGGGCCCCAGAGTACTATCCAAACCAAAATTAAATTATGATATTTTAATTAATGGAAATTAAATACTTCTATCAAAACCATTCCAGCAAAACATTTCTAGTGTGTCTGCCATTTTAATAAGGGTGGTTTGGTTTAATTAGATGCCATGGAAAAGACCAGATATCATATTTTCTATTCTGTAAAAAATAAAAATTCATCTTTGGCTCCCCTGGCCTTTATTTCCTCATGTATAAAATAAAAGGATTGGTCTCAGAGGATATGCAAGGTCTCTCCTAGTTCTAACACTCCACAAGTCTATCTATCTACTAAAGAACTTTAATATTTATAACTAGATATAGAATAAATCTTGAATTTAAGGATTTAAATTGGTTCTCCATAGTCTTAATAAAGTTTCCAAACAAGGTAAATATTTGTCCTTGCAAGGTGGTTTCCAAACATTTCCATTACTTTGAATGAAGTCTTGAAAATTCATTAAAGAAAAATCTTTTAATCAAAGATCATCTGTCCATCTAATTACAACATCTCTGACTACAATACTTATTTGGTAACCTTTCATAAGGCCAATGACATGGATATGCTAGTAGATTTTTAATAACTAGCTCCCTGGGGGAAAAATGTACCACAACAAACTTTTAAGTTATTATTAACATTTTTAACATTTTCTCCCTTTCTTTCTTAAGTCTATATTAAACAATGAATCAAGCCCTGATTTGTAGTATTTCCTGATTTCCAAGGTGCAAGTATTCACATTGATAATTTAACAATTGGCTTCCTCAAGCAAGTTCAAGCTTGCTCCAACTCAACCCTTTCAGTGTGAAACAGTTTAAACCAAAGCCTGAAGTACAGGCAGGTTAAAATGAGTCCTTAATGGTTTCAGATTAAAAATGCACAAACCTTGTGAAAAGAGACTGGAAAAATCTAAAGATAAATGCTCATAACCAAAATGTGTGTGTGCACATTTTTATAAAAGGGATAAAGTTGAGTCTTTACTTAATTGTTCTAAAATCTTTTTTTTTGTTCTCTTAAAAATCTTTCTTTAGCTCTTCTAGGAATTCTTGTTAAGTTTGTGTCCAAACTGCATTTTTCTTTACGGTTTTTCTTGTAGGTGTTTTTAAGTTATTATCTTCTTCTGAATTTTTTTTATCTTAAGTTTTCCTGTCTCCATAGAACCTTTTTATGGCCAGGTTCTTTTGTGGTTGTTGGCTCATTTTTATAGCCTATTTTTTGATTTTAGACTTTAAGAACTGGGTTCTGCTCACTTTTGGGGGTTGGGGGAAAGGATAGCTAGCCTGAGCTTCTGTGTTTAGATCTAGGGGCCTGTCGGTTTTCAGTGCTTCTATGGTGGTATGTTCAAGGGAGAGTTCTGTTCACCGTCCTCCTGGTCTGTGCTCTGGTCCTTACACGGGTAGAGCTTCTGCTTTATTGCGACCACAGACTGTAACTTCTTATCTCTGCCCTCGAACTCTACCTCGGACCTGGACCTGGGTAATGGGTGAAGGAGCTACCAAATAGCACCCAGTCCAGCACCCAGTGCTAGCACAAGGAGCCTCTGTAATACCTTTCTAACCGGGAGTTTACTCCCCTTACAGCTATTGGTACTTCTGCTGCCATGGCCCTCCTACCCCACACCATGAGTGCTGTCCACTGCTTCCCCTGTCCAGGCTCCCAGTCAGCCTCCACCCCAGTGTGCACAGTCAGACCTCTCTCTCATTCTTCCCAAGATGTCTTGGGCTGGAAAACAAGATACTATAATTTATTTTAAGTTATCCCACTCAAAATTTTATTTGAGGCGTTTTTCAAAAGTTGGTTGGGTTGGGAAAAATCAGGAGAAATGCTCAATTTCCTCTCCATATTGGCTCCACCCCTGCTTAAATGTTCTAAATGAATTTCTTTATTGCTAGACTGCTTGAAATGTATCATACATTCTGCATCTCTGATCAATCAATTAATCAATAAGCATTTGTTAGGTGAGCGCTATGTGCAAAGCAGTAAGAAACACCAAAAAGGCAAAAAAAAACCCCCCAAAAAACCCACCTGTCCCTACTGTCAAAGAGCTCACTATCTAATGGAGGAGAAAACACAAAAACAACAACTTTGTACAAACAAGATATATACAGCACATGGAGAAAGGGTATGAGCAGTTGGAGGGAAGAAGGAAAGTCTTTACCTTAAAAGTGGTGCTTGAGCTATGCCTTGAAGGAAGTGAGGGATTCTGTGAGCTAGAAGTGAGGAGCGAGCATCTTCCAGGAATGGGAGATGGCCTGTGCAAAGGCCAACCCAAAGTTGGGAGGATGAGTGCTGTGTATAAGAAATGGAGAAACGAGACAGTTTGGCAAGGCCAGCGAGAGCAGAATGATTAATAATGTATAATGAGGCCAGAAGGATAAGACAAATTAAACTTAAAAGTTGCATTTTGCCTTTTTCTTCCACTTGAAAAATTTCCTGATTTTTAAACATGAAATTTAAGGATAAAAATGTCTCATGGACAGATATTTATTTGTCATATTTAAAACTAAAATGTATTTAATCACAACTTATACTTCAAAAATAAATTATGCTTAAAATACATAAACCCTTAAGTCCATAGAAAACTGACTTTTTAAAAAATATGCATTTAAACTTATCTCATTCACTAATTGTTACTGAAAGTATCCATTTCCTTAACTTCAGGCAATAGATAAATACTGTATCGTACCAAGAAAAAAAAATGCGTACTCTGGTCAATTTACTTTAATAATTTATGGCTGAGGGAGAAAAAGCCAAGGTGACTGAGTAGCAGGAAGACATACAGCATAAGCTGCCCCTCCCCCCAAATTCCTTGAAGAAGACTTGGAAAGCACACCAGACTGAAACCTTTTGGCAAAATCCAAGAAAAAGTCAGAGTGAGTCATTTTTCCTCCAGACATAGAGGTCTGACACTGAAGGGATCTGGCCAGGAGCCTGAGGGAGAAGCTGGAAAAGGCACTAAGTGACAGCTTTTTGCCATTACCTAATTTCTGGTGTAGGATAGACTGAGGAGGGAACATGTGCCCAAGAGGGGCATTCTAGTAGGGACCAGTGGAGGCCCTGGGCAGTGTATTGAGAAGCAGGTTCAGAAGCTAAGCACCAGCAATGTGTCTCAAAACTCAAAAGCAAAGCTGAGCCATAGTTGTAGTCTCTAGCCCAGTCTGATGCCTGCAGAGAAATAATCAGGGCAAGAATCTGAGACCAAAGGCAAACCTGCAATTGTCATTGTTAACAGGCAGAGCTTCTCAGTAGGCCGCTGCTGATCTCCTCCAAACCCAGGTAGGTCAAGAGCTTGCCAAAACTCAGAACAGAGGGTAGTAATCATACATTTCCCTGGATCAACTGCTTTAGGAGTGTTGAAAAGTTGCAGATCTTCAGCCTGAGCTGTCCTTGAGAACCTGAAATAACGCAACTCTCAATACCCAAGAAAGGAGCATTAGGGCCAGCCCAGATATGTCTTCCAGATGTGCTCAAAACTTTAAAGCACAAACTGGAGGAATGAGCAAATGAAAAGAGAATCTCACCATAAAGAGCTATTATGTTACTAGGAATGCTCAGAACATAAACCCAGAATCAATCAATAAACATTTATTAAGGTCTGGGATACAAAAAGAGGCAAAAGACAGTCCCTTCCCTCAAGGAACTTACAATCTAATGGGAGAGACAATATATAAATAAGTATATACAAAGCAAGCTATGTACCAGATAAATAGAAAAAAATTAAAAGAGGGAAGGCACTGAAATTAAGAGGGATTGGGGAAAGCTTCCTGTGGAAGGTGAGATTTTAGTTGAGACTTAAAGGAATCCAGGGAGGCCAGTAGTCAGAGCAGAGGAGGGCATAGGGGATAACCAGAGAAAATGCCTAAAGTCAAGACATGGAATGTCTTGTTAGTGAAACAGCCAGGAGGCCAGTTTCACTGGATCAAAGAGCATTTAGTGGGGAGTAAGGTGAAAGAAGACTGGAAAGATTAGGTGGGAGATTGGAATTGGGGCAGGTAGATTATGAAGGGCATTGAACACCAAACAAAGGATTCTGGAGGCAATAAAGAAAGAACTACTGGAGTTTGTTGAGTGGGGAATGGGAGAGTGGGGAGTGACATGGTCAGACTTGTGGTATTGGAAAATCTCTTTGGTGGCTGAATGGAGGATGGATTGGAATGGGGTGAGATGATGCAGGAAGATCAACCAGTAAGCTATTGAAGTGATCTAGGCATGTGGCAAGGAGGGCCTATACCAAGATAGTAGCTGTGTCAAAGGAGAGAAGGGGGAGTGTTTGAGAGATGCTACCAAAGCAAAGTCAGCAGGCCTTGACAACAGTTTGGGTATGGGGGGAAAGAAATAGGAATCCAAGATGACTCCTAGGTTAAGAGACTAAAAGACTAGGAGGATAGTGTTGCCCTATACAGTAATAGATAAGGTAGAAGTAGGGGAAGGGTTTAGGAGGAAAGATAATGAGTTTCATTTTGAATATATTATGTTTAAGATGTCTACTGGACATCCAGTTCAAAATGTCTGAAACGCATTTGGAGATGGGAGGTTGGAGAAAGGCAGAGAGATTGGGGCAAGAAAGATAAATGTAATTACCATAGAGATGGTAATTAAATCCATGAGGGCTGATGAGATTTCCAAGTGAAGCTTGGGACAATGCCCCCTCCACCCCAAGAGAAAGGCCCAACTGTAGCATAAGATTAAAAGACAAGAAATAGGCTGGGAAAATGAGCAAACAACAGAAAAAGGACCTGACCAACCTGACCAAAGAAAGTTACTGTGATGACAGGGAACATCAAGACACAAACTCAGAAGACAACAAAATCAAGGCAACTACATGCAAAACCTCAAAGAAAATTGTGAGTTGATCTCAGGCCCTAGAAGAGCTCACAAAGGATTTTAAAAGTCAAATAAAAAAGTAGAGGAAAAATTGGGAAAAGAAATGAGAGTGATACCAAAAAATCACAAAAAGAGTCAATAGCTTGGCAGAAGAGACACAAAAAAATGCTAAAGAGAATATCTTTAAAAAAAACGACAACAACACAGGTTTGGCCAAATGGTAAAAAAAAGGCACAAAACTCAACTGAGGAAAATAATTTCTTAAAAATTAGAATATGGCAATCTGAAGCTAATGACTCCATGAGACCTCAAGAAACAATAAAACAAAATCAAAAGAATGAAAAAATAGATGAAAATGTAAAATATCTCATTGTAAAAACAACTGACCTGGAAAATAGATCCAGGAGAGATAATTTAAGACTAATTGGACTACCTGGAAGCCATGATTAAAAAAAAGGGGGGGGCCAAGATATCGTATTTCAAGAAACTATAAAGGAAAACTGTGCTGATATTCTAGAACGAGAAGGTAAAATAAAAGTGAAAGAATCCATTGATCACCTCCTGAGATTCCAAAATGAAAGTTCCCAAGAATGTTATAGACAAATTCCAGAGTTCCCAGGTGAAGGAGAAAATATTGCAAACAGCCAGAAAGAAACAATTAAAATATCATGGAGCCACAGTCAGAATAACACAAGATTTAGCATCTTCTACTTTAAAGCAATATGTAAGGAAATATATAATTAGTAATCATAACTGTGAATGTGAGTGGTATGAACTCACCCTTAAAGCAGAAGTGAATAGCAGAGTGGATTAAAAACCAGAGTCCTACAACATGTTGTTTACAAGGAATACACCTGAAGCAGAGAGAGTAAAAGTAAGGGACTAGAGCAGAATCTATTATGCTTCAGCTGATGTAAAAAAACAAAAACAAAAACAAAAAAACAAAAAACAGGGGTAGCAGTCATGATCTCAGACAAAGCAAAAGACAACATAGATCTAATTAAAAGGGATAAGCAAGGAAACTACATTTTGCTAAAAGAAAAAAAGGTACCCCTTAAATAAAGTAATATCAATACTAAACATGCACCAACTACTATAGCATCCAAATTCTTAAAGGAAAAGTTAAATCAGTTACAGGAGGAAATGGACAGTAAAACTATGCTAATGGGAGACCTCAACTTTCTCTTCTCAGAACTAGATAAATCTAACAAAAAAAATCAAGAAAGAAGCTAAGGAGATTAATAGATTTTTAGAAAAGTTAGATACGATAGACCATTGGAGAAAATTGAATGGGAATAGAAAAGAATATACCTTTTCTCAGCAGTATATAGCATCTATGCACAAATTGATCATGTATTAGGGCATAAAAACCTCACAACCAAATGCAGAAGAGCAGGAATATTAAATGCATCTCTTTCAGATCATGATGCAACAAAAATTACATTTAATAAAGAAAAATGGTAAGAGAGGGAAAGAATGTATTTGCAAGTAGGAGGGGATAGGATGGTTAGGGAAAATTATGTCACGTAATCAGAGTGTGTGAGTAAACAGCTATACAAACAAAGAGGAAGTGATGGTGAGGGGACTGGCTAACCCTTGAACCACACTCCTCATCTGTGTTGGTTAAAGGAGGGAAGAATACAGAGGGCAGAAATACATTTCACTCAACAAGGAAATAGGAGAGAAAGGGGAAAAGAGACATTAAGGAAAGGGAAAATTGAGGGAGAGATTAGTCCTAAGTAAAGCCGACTCTAAGGATATACAAAAACATTTATAGTTCTTTTGGAGGTTGCAAAAAAAATAGGAATCTGAGGGAATACCATCAGTTGGTGACTAGCTGAAAAAGTTATGGTGAATGAATGTGATGAAATATTAGTGCTGTAAGAAATGATGAAGAGAATAGTTTCAGAGAAACCTGGGAAGACTTGCATGAATTGATATAAGTGAAGTAAACAGAACCAAGATAACATTTTATACAATGACAACAATACAGTAAAGACAAACAACTGTGAAAGAATCAGGAACTGTTTAGTGGAATTACCAATTTATTGACTGTAATGTGCCAATTACCTAGCCAAATATTGTTGTTAAGGAGATGAGTTGATATTCATAAACTGAATAGAAGAACCTAGAGATTTTGAAATAATATTCCAAAGTTGTATGTGTGTAAGTATGTGAGTGTAGTGTGTGTGTTGCCCATGTAGGTTATATGTATCCACTTAGGTTTGCCTAGATGTGGCTAATGGAGGCATAGATAAACATCTCCAAATTCTCTTCTGTCCCTCTGCCCACCCTTTTCCAAGAGAGACCTTGATTCCTTTCAGGCATAGAACAATAAATTAGGGCCAGATGGCTGGCCACTCAGCTCTCATCATAAAGAGGTACTAGGCTAGAATTATGTCTATATTCCCTCCTAAATAGCATTAGTCCAAGGAAAATGTTTTTCTAGGTTCAAGTTGTGCTCCTGGTCACATGGGATGGAGCGTCTGAAGCTACATATCCAAAAGCTTCCTTCCTACCAAATTCCAGTTACACAAATACCATCACACATACTGAATAGTGAATAAACCTGTTTATCCAAGCAAACAAATCAGAGAAGTTATTCATAGATGAATACAGCAGACAATACACAGAGTGAATGAGTACTTCCACTGGGAATGAGGTATCTCAACTTGACTGAGAAAGTCCTTGATCTCACCCAAGGTGAAATTCCCTGAAGTCCCTCATGTATCAAGCTCAGAACAGGCACATGTGGGAGGTGCTAGCTGCTCTACGTGATATCTCCTTCCCAGAGTTTTCTCTCCCTCCAGGGACTTCTCCTTGAATAAAATTTATAATTGTATGCGTCTTCTCTGGAAGCTGGAAGCCAGAACACAGGGATCTCTGCCAAGCTTTCACCAGCTCTGCCCCCAAATAAGCATGCAGCATTAAGTGGTTTTTCTCTCTAACAAGGAGGAGAGTCTTAGGGAAATGTCATTCTTGAGCACCAGGTTCCATAGATACAGCTAACTTTTAATTATTAATCCCAATAGGGAACAGAATTGAAAAGTTTTTACATTTGAAAAATAAATAGAGGTAATTCCCAAAGTTACTTTTCTAAAAACCTGGCTTTTTCTTCCACCCAATATTGAAGCAGAATTGCTTACAAGTAGCCAAAGAGATTGATTTCACCTCTCTGATAATAATAAAGTCCGTAAATCTGTGATTTTATAACAGGTAACATTGAGTGGCTCCTCTACAGCAGGCTCACCATCCCCACTCAAGGAGAATTCATTCCTGACTGTTACTAAATGTTAGACATAAATGGAAGGTTCACTCTGCATTTAAGTGGAAACAAATATTTTTGTTCTGTTTTCTGGACAAAAGTGCTATAAACTCAGCTGAGAATGATGAATTCATTCATTCAGCAGTCACACTGATTTTAATATGAATTGCTATTTCCATAACTTCATTGCCGTCTTGAGAAATCAATTTGAAAATGATTATCATCGACCTTCTGTGAAATGCCAGACACCTGCTTCTTCAGCTTCTTTTGAATCCCACCTGGAACTGTTGTTTCCAAAAATTTGGGTTTATTTTTTCTGTTGATGAATCCACTTTGTAAAAGGCACTGAAGCACATTCTTGCTACAGTGTATCCTATTTTTTTTTCCATCAGTATAGATCACAATCTGATTACTTTTAGACCTGTACATGATACAGTAGTAGGCTAAGCTCTGTCTTCTATACAGTCTACACCTGTTTTATATAGAGTCGTAAAAAGGCTGAATGATATTATACATAAGAACGTCTTCAGGTGATTAAAGATGAACAGCTTTTGAACAGTTTTCACTCATGTCTATGAATCAAAGTCTTTGTTGTGAGTCTTTAAGAAAAAAAAAAAAAACCACGAACACATGAATACACTATTTCTCTCTTGCCTTGCCAGTCAAAATGCCCAAAAGTCAGCTAGTTTTTTACATCATTGCACCCAACCCTTATAAAGAGAAGTTCTTTATTTTTATTCATTTGATGAAATCCACAGATGGACTACACAGTTGTTATTATGTGCCTTAAAGGAAATGTTTTAGCATTTAGTTTCATTATATAAACACTCAGCAGGCGCTCTATGATGAGAGTGAATATGTGGGATAAATAAGGCTGATGGTGGTTCATTGTGCAATGCATTTTGATCATTTTAGTGGATTGGATATATTCTGCCACTTTTACAGGTTCTACCGCTACCATACTGCAGGAAGCCCAAATCCCTCTTATATCAAATGAGAAATGCCAACAACAGATGTTGGAGTACACTATTACTGAAAACATGATATGTGGAGGCTATGAAGAAGGAGGAATTGATTCCTGTCAGGTAAATATTTAAAATCACTACTTACAATTTCAGAATAAGTAGCTGCATTGTGTTTCTTTATCATCCAGAAAATAATAACATAAAAGAAAAGAGACCCTGAATGCCTCATCACTTTTTTTTGTCTTATTGAGCTAAGTCCCTACACTTTGGCTTGGGAGTGGGGGGTGGGGTAAGCCCGAGTTTCTGAACCCCTGAAACTGTCCCAGAGTTAAGATTGTGCTTCAGTTGCCTAAAAATAATTGCTGTTGGAAAATAGACAAGCATGCAGCTAAATATAGAATAGCAGGGAACTTTGTATAGCAGCTCATGTTAATGTTTTTCCTGGAGCCACTACAACAATCATTTGATTCAATGGTGAGTTGAAATGAAGCTTGCTCAAATAGTAGTGTGAATACTTGTGTAAAATTCAAAATCTTGTGATCTAGTTGTAATCAACTATGATTGTGACATATCTGTACTCTTTGCCCACCTATGGTTAGAATGTATCTGGCCAGGAAGGGCATGATTTAAAAACAAAGCATTCATTCACTCTCAACTATTTAATATTCATAATATAATAAGATATATTTTAATAATAAATGAATTAATAATAAATAAACTAAGATATTTGCTACTGATCAGCTACTAGCCAAATGCAAGCTATTTTCTAGGAGAAGGTAAGATACATAAGTTGGTGCCACCTAAACACAATAATCTAATATTGACTAAATTCATTTTGGTTTTTAGAATGCTTCAATACTTCAGTGGATTCATGAGCTCATCCAATGTAGATACTGCCTTCAGTGTTGCAAATCCCACCTTCTCATCCTGTGTGATTCTTGTACATGTTCTTCCACAAATTATCCTTAGAATATCTACCTTAAACTCCAGAGATCTTCTCAATCTTTTAATAGTCTGTGGATACTCTACTATTTGACTAATTATACATTTTCTGGATCATATCTTTTCTTAGAATCACATCATTTAAGAATTGTAAGGGCTGTCAGAGACTATCTAGTTCAGGAATTCTTAAATATTTTTGCATCATCGACTCCTTTGATAGTCTGGTGAAACTTATGGAACTGATCTCAGAGTATTTTAAATGCATAAATATACATAGAATTTCAAAGGAAACAATTATGTTGAAATAGTTATCTGAAAAAATTTAAAAATAAGTTCACAGACCCCAGTAATAACCCCAGATCTAGTTCAACCTATACCCACATTGATGAAATCATGGCAGTACTGAAGATTGGAAGTATAAACTAATCTACTATGAAGAAATTACCAGTGGAAGGGTTGTTTTGAGAAAAAAAGAACACTTTGCAAATTTTAAAGGGCTATAGAAATGTGAGATATTGTTATAATTATCATCATCATCTCCTGTTTAAGACAGCTGTAGGAACAAATACCTCTGAGGTTTATTCCAGAGCAGCAGTAACAGCATTTGTTGTATTTGCCAAATATCCTAAGTTGCTGGCTTTATGAATTTCATTATTGAATTTGTTTTCTGAAAACCTTAAAACTAAACTTAGCTGCCATATTTTAACTTTATTTTCCATTTCATTTTCTAGGGAGATTCTGGTGGGCCATTAATGTGCCAGGAGAATAATAGGTGGTTTCTTGCTGGTGTTACATCATTTGGATACCAATGTGCATTGCCTAATCGTCCTGGGGTATATGTTCGAATACCAAAGTTTGTAAAATGGATAAAAAGTTTCACCACATCTCTTAAGTAAACAGAAACATGCTGCCTTGATAGTTTCCTTATGCTATTCTAGTTTATACTTCAGATCTTCAATGTATGTACTCCCTCCCTGGATGCCTCCATGCCTTCTCCTTTATCATTTTCATCCATATCCTCCATAAAGGATGTATAGTTCTTCCCCTCATTTTGTTTCAATACTGTTGTAACATATAAGTTGTCACTCAGCACTCTTTGTACTTTCTAAATGGTAAGCCAACCTCCTTTTCTGGTCATACATGATTTTTTAATGTATATTATAAAATATTGTATACACAAGTTAAACTTTCTCTGCTTCCTTTGTACAAAGTCAGCATTTTCATTCCAGCATTTTCATTGGGAAAAGTAAAAACATTTAAGTCCACATATTAAAATGAGATCTACCCAGTTTTTGATTATGATCTAATGTCAGAACAGGTCCTCTCTGTTACCCTTATTTAAATAGAAGATAGACACATCTCTGTCAGTCTAAAATGTTTAGAAGCAAAACAAGTATATTTGTAATTTTTACATTATATCTAATCTAGATATAATATACCTACTGTCCTTCAGTCATTTTATCTAGTAATTTTTTTAAAAACTGATTAAAAATCTATTTTAAAATTGGCCAAAGGAAAATGCATTGCATCGCAAAGGACTTCATTAATACTATAGTATATGCTTTTAAAAAATACTATTGAAATTCACAAACTTCAGGCATATCAAAATGTACAGCAAATAATAAATGTGTAATATATTGATTTTTTCACATTACTTTAATCTCTTCTTTTTTCACCCTCTACCATCACCCCTCTGGGGAAATTTCTCCAATTCATACTGGCGCTTGTAGGTTGGGTGCCTAGAGTAAAGCCTGCTTCCTTGAATTTTAGGGTTATCCCTGTGGGTTACAACTAACACTAGAATCCACAAGCCCTTATAAGTGTGCTTCCTATTAACAATCAGCCAGTAGAATCAATTAACTCTTTAGAAAAAACATTTGTTAAAATGATAGCAAAAATGGTAGTTACAAAGTATTTCTTTCATGCCACTCACCAAAAAAAAAACAAAACCCACAACATGTAATATACTCTCCATCAAATATATAAAGTCTGTTGTGGGAAAAGTGGTAACAAATTTAAAGTATAATGGTTATGAGGCATGTGTGTAGTGAACATATGTGGCTAAGGTAATTCCTGACTGGCATTTCCAAACTTTAACATCCTTTCTTTCTTTGGAGAGTCTTTATGAAATTCATTATGGAGTAATGTCAGTGATGGGTGAATTCCTTCCACTGCTCATCTGGTCTTCATCCTGCCAGGATACAGTGTTTTAGTTGGACAAGTGGCTCAACTGGACTTACTACTCAAAGGATATATTATATCTATTGAATATGTTGGGCCAGGCTTCTTATTTGGCCAATAAACTGTCTCCTGACACGGCACAGGTGAACTGGGAAAGTCACTTGGACACTGGACTGGCTCCTCATAGGGCATAGGCTATCTGCTAGATGGGTCAATCTATTGGCTCTCGAAGGCTTGCTCTTCAATGGGCAGATACCCCCTCCAGGTTCAGGCGATGCTGGTTGCTCTTTTCAAATGAAGTATTGATGTGCTCTTTCAGAAATGGCAGAGCCACACCTGTCAATCTTAGCCTAAGATCAACATATACCTTGCCCCTTCTACACAGAGCCTTAACTCTGAGGTTTGTCATCTCCCAGGAATGAAGTAAGATAGATATACCCTCTCTGTTCTTGGTTAAGAGCTGGATTCCCTCAGTAAGGAAACCCACCTTGGATTATGGTGACTATTCAAGTATATTTCCCAGATTCCTATTGGGTTTTATATAGAATGAATAGCTTGGAACTTCCAAAGCACTGAGGCAATCTTTATCCTTCAGAAAGTACATTATCTCTTCTGTCTTTTTCATATGTAATTGAGTTATTTAAAGTCCTAGTATACCTTCCAAGGTATTAAATGTTTCATTTATATCTGTTGGAGCCTAATTTCATAATTTCTGTCTTTACATCTTCTGACTTTCAATTTTGCTTAAATCTAAACATTATACTTTTAGACCCAGGATTTGATTTAACATTGACTTGATTCAACAACTACTGTGTGCAAAATTAATGACAGATATTGTTGATGGATTCAGAGAAAGAAGAAAACACATAAGAAGCTTGTAATTTATGTGGAGAGTCAAGACTTGGATACATGAAAGAAAAATACATTGTCTTGAATGGTTACTTAAATGCCAAAAGTAAATGATGGAGTTGTTCAGAGAAAGAAGAATAAAATTTGTGGCTTTAGAGCTTTAGAAGAGTCCTTAAAAAGTATCTAGTTCCACTATTTTATTTTGCAAATGAGGAAACAAAGGCTCAGAGAGGTTAATAGGACTTCCAAGGTCACACATGTAGTAAATCTCAGGAGTTGAACTTATAATTCCATATCTAGAACTCATTTTATTACATCAAAACTTTTATGAAAAATGTAGACCTTAACCTAGATAAATATAGAAATAGAATATAGAATTGAACAAAATCAAGAGGGAAAGACTTTTCCAGATTGGATAAATATTATGAACAAACCCAAAGTTAATATTGAGAATGGTGTGAAAAGACTGGCCAACACAATGGAGTAGAAGGACACAGTCCAATCCAGCCCTACCCTCCACCAATTTCAAACAATTTAGAAAATGAACCAGATAGAGTCATAATTGAAAAAAAAAACAAGAAAAAAATTGAGTCATTTTCTTCCAATTCAGATAAAAATAGAGAGACAAATAGGTCTGTGACACAAGGAACAGGATCTAGCCAAGAATACTCCACAACAAGCATTCCATTACAGGGATAAAGGAAAACTTGCCTGTGGCTGTGCACCAGTTCAAGAAAAGGACCCAGATCTAATACAGAGGGATTTGACCTTTCATGAAATATAGAAATTGATGCTACCTAGCAGCTATGTCACTCTCCATTCACAGATCCAGTGCAGACTGAGAATGGGATCTATGCCTAGTCCAGGGCAAGGAGCAAGTACAGAAGCAAACAGCAACTGTGTGGCTCTGGTCCAACCCTCAGTTTGGTCTAAAGTTTACAGAAAGCCCAGACTAATGGAGAGCATGCAATTCTGTTACTCTTAACCTTCAGAGCTTTCTAGTTGCCGAAAGTGACTGTGTCAAATGGCTGTCTACTGGAGCTCCAATCAGCTCCACAGCTGTGTTCTCTGGACCAAATCCAGGTCTGGGATTTGCAGAGCACAGAGCAAGAGGGCATTATCTACAAGCAAAGCCTCAATGAAAAATAATTTGGGCACAAATTTAACTATAGTTCCTGGAAGAGATAAAGCAAGAGTTTTTTTTTAAGAGTTTAACCTTTTTAAAAAAAAAATAAAATAAGAGCACTCAAGGAAAGAATTGGGAAAGAGATGAGAGTACTAAAGGAAAGAATTGGGGAAAAAGAGTTATGGAAAAAAGAATTTGAAAGAGAATTGGTACAATATAAAAAACTTTATTCAAGCAAAAGACTTTGAAAATTAGAATAGACCAAATAGAATTTAAAAACTCCATTAGAATAGGAATATCAAAAATAAAGTCAAAAGATTGAAAAAACATAAGAAAATGTAAGATATCTCATATCAAAAACAAATTACCTGGAAAAAATCTAGGAGAGGTAATTTAAGAATAAATAGACTACATGAAAGGCAAGAAAAACTGACCAAAACTCCTTGAAATAGAATAAAGTAGAAATAGAAACCTGAAAAAAATAAAAATGAATTTTTTTCTAGCCATTATAGCCAAAATCCAGAGCTTCCAGGTCAAAGGGGAAAAAAAATACTTCATAAGAAAGAATTCAAGTACCAGGGAGCCACAAGTAGGATCGCAGAAAATTAAGCAGCCACCATTATAGAAGGGCAGAGTGCTTGAACTATGCTATTCCAGAAGGTAAATGATACAGATTTATGATCAACAATAACAATAACAACAATAACTTATCTAGTGAAACCTAGCAAAAATCTGAGGGGAAACAAATAGAACTTTAATGAAATAAGGGATTTTCAAACATTTTTGATAAGAAGACCAGAGTTGAGGGGAAATTTTGAAATACAAACACAAAAGTTGAGGTAAAGTAATAATAAGGGATTAAATAAGGACGAACTATTTACATTCTAATATAAGGAAATGATACAAGTATCCCCTCAAAACACTAATGTAATTAGGGGTTGTGGAGAGAGTGTAATATAGTGAAAACAATTTTACAATATATTTTAAAAGAAGAAATGAAATGGAGGAGGAAAATTAATACACTGGGGAAGGGAAGAGAAGGATAAAGGAAATTATCTCAAATAATTTGAGTACAGAAGTAGAATGCAAACAAGATTGAAGGAGTGGGAAGAGTGGATAACACCTGAACTTTACTTTCATCTGAACTGGCCAAAGGAGGGTTCATACATGCATCTCATTTAACTTTCAGTTTATGTGACCACTAGTATGGAAGACTAGACTTTTTTTTATCATACAGCCTCTCAAAAGTCTCTAAAATATAGGTCATGGGTCAAAGAAAAATCAACTTAAATTGTTTCTATGATGGGAACCATGTTCTGGGTATGGTACAGGGGATTTGGTACTTGAAAAAACTACTCTTCCTATCTTGGAAGAAAGTTGGAACCCCTAAAGGCAATTGGCACCTAGGGGAGTGGGACCGCACGGACGCAGGGAGAGATTGTGAGGCAAATGGGGAAAAGAAGGTAACCAGGTGAAAGAGTGTTGATCAGTGGTGGGCTGCATAATCATGGATGTGGTGGCCATAGGGGAGAGCCGGACAAATGGGACATTGTTCTATCTGTTGCCTACAGGAATTGGCATTCTTCTGGGAGTGAGAACCAATGAAAAAGGTGAATACACAAGACAAGCTCTACAAGGCAGTATCAGAAACTGCCTAGGGGGAGGAGACCATAATAGGTCTATAAGAAGCTTTTACTGAATGAGGAATATTAAGAATAGAGGGAGATGAGACGATTATAG